CTCGTAAGAGCCGTAGTTTAATCCCAACTCCCCGGGCACTAATTTCTCCCCCCTCTCCCTTTATTTTTTTTTTTTTTTTCCCTCTTCAATTAACGGCTGGAAGTGTTTCAGGTTCTGGCAGCGAGCTCTGGACGTCGCTGTGAGCGATGGCTCCCGCGGGCTCCGTCCCGGTAATTTATGGGGCTGAGCTGCATAAATCACGGCAGCGAGCGGCTCCCAGACAGCTGCGTCCCCCGGGGCCGGCCGGGACCCCGGGCTGCCCCAGCTACCTGCTGAGTGACGCCGAGCCCTGGGGGCAGCGACCGAGGTGGGGGAATGGAAAAACCTTCACCTTTTCCACCCTCTTTTACAGCTCCTCTCCCATTCCCGGCCTCTCCCAGAAGCGCAGGGGGTGGATCGGTGCCCGCAGGGGTTTGGGGCAGGTGGAGGGGGTTGATTGAACCAGTATCCCTCCTCATGTCCTGCTCAGCCTTCTGGAGGGATCCCAACACGACAGCCCGACCCAGCGTTCTGCATCCAGAGACCATCAAAACCTGCTGAGTCTCCCCAGGGAGATGCAGCCGATGTCCAGCCCTGAGGGACAGGGACGGCCGGGCCGCGGGATCGCAAGCAGAGCCAGCGCCGGCGACCGGGAGCGCGCAGGGAAAGGGGCATTTTCGCCTCAATGTGCTGAGCAGATTGGAACCAGCTCTGGTTAAGTCATTGGCTCTGTTGGGAGGTCTGAGCTGGAGCGTCTCCCGCCTGTGCCCCCTCCCCACGATCAATCAAAGTTGCAGCAAATTAGCCCAGATGCTGGGAGATTCGGTTCAAATCCAGCTGTGGTTTGGATCGCGTTCGCATGCCTGGCTTCATGTGGGACCTGGGCTTTTGGACAGGATACAGCCCCCCGGTCTCTGCAGGGCCCTGTTTCCCAGCGCAGCCTCTCCCCAAAGCCCACACACATGTCTTCGATTACGGCGCGTTGGCCAGCCGGGCCGCATCCGGCACCGCCAGGAGCCTGCAGCCCCCGCTGGCAGCTCGCACTTCATTTCCCCGGCGGTGCCGGGGTATGGCAGCCCCCAGCGCGGCGCCCCCTGGGTGTGCAGGGGGATGCGTGTCCCCTCCACCTGGGCTGGGCTGAGGCCGTGAAACTCGTGACAGCGCTGAGCTGCTCCGGGCTGAGAGCGGGTCGGTGTTGCCCGCCTCCAGTGCTCCTCCCAGAGTTAGGCAGGGCTGTGGGGGAGTCTGCATGGAGCCCTGCCTGCTGTGACACAAGGCTGGGGGTAGCCACAGGACACTTCCAGATGCTCCCAGGATGCCCAGTGCCTCCCAACATGAGAGGATCTCTGCGAGGTGGCAGGAAAGGCAGAGCCTCCCCAGCACACCACAGTCTCCCCCTTCAGTCAGGGTGGCCAGGCTGGAGGTGGCTGCTCTCTGCTGCATAATCTGGGTGGGCAACGGGACCCCTTCCCTTTGGAGTGATGTTCAGGTGGGTGGAGAGCCCTCTTCTGCATAGCAATGCTTGATGGGGCAATGGGACCCCTTTCTTATGGGGTGACACTGAGGGGACCCTTTCTTGCAGTGTGATGCTTGATCAGACAAGGGCACCCATCCCTGGAAGGTGATATTTCATGGGTCAGAGGCACCCTTCCTTGTGGAGGGGTGTTCGGGTGCACAAGAGACAGAATCAAACAGGGGTTGAAGTTCAGAGGGACCCCAGGAGGTCATCACCTGCCCCTCTGCTCCAGGGCCAGGACTGCTGCTTCATTGCCCAGGACTGTGCCCAGATGGCTTTTGGATATCTCAAAGGACAGTGACTCCAGCACCTCCCTGAGCAGCCCGTGCCAGGGCTCCCCTCACAGTGGAAAAATGTTCCCTGATGGTCAGAGGAAGCCGTGCCTGTGCCCATCAGCAGTCTGTGCCCACCAGCCCTGCTCCAGGCACTGGGCACCACAGAGCTGAGCCTGCCTCCGTCCTTTCCACACCCTCCCTCCAGGGATGTGTACACACTGATCAGGTCTCGGGAGCCTTCTCTTCTCCAGGCAGTCCCCACTCTGCTGCCTCAGCACTGGGGAGATGCTCCAGTCCTTTAATCTTGGTGGTCCTCCACTGGACTCTCTTCAGTATGTTTATATCTCTCTCATACTGGGGAGCCCAGCACTGGACCCAGCACTCCAGGAGTGGCCTCCCCAGCACTGAGCAGAGCAGAAGGATCCTCTCCCTGCTGTTAATGTTCCTCCTAATGCAGACCAGGACACCATTCACCTCCTTCCTCACATGAACACGTGGTCAACTTGGTGTCCCTCAGGACCCTCAGGGGCTTTTCCCCCAAGCTGTTGTCCATCCAGGCAACCCCCTGGATATCCCAGAGCACAAGGCTCTTCCTCCCCAGGGCTTTCCAATCCCCCTTGTTGAACTTTGTGAGGTCCCTGACAGCTGGAGAGGGGCAGTGGGACCTCTTATGGGGAGATGTTTGGAGAGACAAGAGCACTCATCCCTGGAAAGGTGATGTTTTGTGGAGCAATGGGATCCCTTCCTTGTGGGGTGATGCCTGATGGGGTGGTGGAAAACCTTCTCTGAAGGCAGGTGAGGATCCCATCCCTGCAGAGTGATGCTTGGTGAAACAATGGGACCCCTTCCCTTATGGGCGATTCTTCACGGGGCAGCAGGACCTCTTCCTTGTGGGACAATGCTTGGGTTGGGTGAGAGATGCTTCCAGTGTGGTGATGTTTGAGGGAACAGGTGATAAGACCCCTTCTCTGTGGGATGACACTTCACAGGTCAATGGGACACCTTAATTGTGGGGAAATTCTCAGTTAAACAAGGGGACCCACCCCTGCAATGTGATGTTTAGTAGGGCAGTGGGACCCCTTCCTCGTGGGGTGATGCTTGATGGGGTGATGGGATGCCTTGCCTTTGAGGTGAGGTATTATGGGGCAGTGGGGCCAACCTCCTCATGGGAATGGTGCTCAGGCAGGGTGAGGAACACTTCCAGCGGGGTGATATTTGGGGGCAGAAGTGATGAGACCCCTTTCCTTTGAAGTGATGCATCACAGAGCAGTAAAACCCCTTCTTTGTGGGGTGATGCTCAGGCAGGTGAAGACCTCCTGTTCTATGGGGTGATGTGGCACCCCTTCCCTCTCAGGTGATGTTCGTGGGGTGGTAACACCCTTTCCTCCTTCAACAGCCCTCATCGACCACCACCTTCCCATCTTTCCAAGCCCCAGCGGTGACCTACCCTCCCCACCCCCAACACCGAGCCCCCTCTATGCCCCTTCCCCCGCGACAGGGACACGGCTAAAGCCACTGGTGGGAAGCCCACGAGATGGCAGCAACGGGCCACGCTCCGGGATGCGACATCCCCCCCATTCCCCCTCCCCCGCCTTCCCGGGAGCCGCGACCCCTCAGTCCCCGTCCCGGTCCCCCGACACGACCCTGTGCGCGCCGAGGTACCGGGACGGGGAATGGAGGGGTCGCGGCCCCCGGAGGAGCGGCGGAGCTGCGCAGCCGGTTGCTGGTGGGCCGGCCCCGGTTGCTGACTAATCCCGGGGCTGAGTCACGGTTGCGGCGGGGAGCGCTGCGGCAGCGATTCCCCCCCTCCCCTACCCGAACCGGAGAGCCCCGACGGGGCGGGCGCCGGTGCTGCGTGGGAAAAAAAAAAAAGGGGGAGAGGAAGGGGACACCCCTATCTAGCCCGGGGGGTGGGTAAGGTGCTTTCGGGGGGTTCTAGGGGGGTGGCAGCAACTTAAGCGGGGTGGTTGGAGGAGGATGGGGAGATGCTGGTGGGGCTGGGGGTGTTAATTGCCTGAAGAACTCTGCAGGTATTTGGGGGTGTAAGTGAGCAATAAGGGGGGTGTCGGGAGGGGGTTGTGGCTTGAGCCCCCCGTAGCAGCGTGTGGCCTTGCAGCAGCGTGCGGCCTTGCGCAGCGGCGGATGCTGGCGGGCGCGGATGCTGCTGTCAATGACAACGCCGCTGTTGCTGTGGCGACCGGTGTGATGCTTCGCCAGAGCAGAGTGAGGTCAGACGGCTCCAGCAGGAGTGGGGGGGGATGCATGAATGGATGGATGGATGGATGGACGGACGGATGCACAAGGGGGGGGAAAGGATCCCCCCACAGATCCCCCTGGATACGACTCTAGGCCCATCTTGGGGGGTGCTGACACTTGGGATGGGGCGGGGGAAGGCCAAATTAATTTCACCTGTCTCTGTGGCACCAATGGCTTTTAGGGGATGCAGCGTTGGTGGGACACCTGTCAGGAGCGATGGGTCAGGGCAGCAAGGTGCTGCAGTGGGGTGTATCCCCCATGTATTCTAAACTCACCCATATCACCACCACTTTTTGCTGGACATCCTCCTGCAGGACACTGGACTGACACCCATGGGTGTTCGTGGCACTGTAAGGACAGGGGTTCTTACGGGGGACCATGTGAGAGGTACTGCTCAGGACAGCGCTGTAGGTTGGGGTGCAGGTGGACAGGAGGCACCCCAGGCCGGTGCCCAGGTATGGGGACCCCTGTGCAACCCCTTCCCATGATGGGGGGCTCAGACAGCCCCAAACCACCAGCCCCGTGGGGCTGCCACGAGGCCAGGATGGGGCCACACTCTGTCCCAGTGGGGTGGTCTTGGGGCAAAGGGTCTTGAGTCCTGGACTCCCGTGGGTGCCTGGATGGACACCTCGGAATGGGGGCAAGGGGTGTCCGTCCCACGCCACAGCCCTCAGGGAACCTCAGGGACCCTCTGCTTGTGTCTCAGTGGGTGCACAGCCCCTGGGCCTGGTTGCAGGTGGAGGAAGGATGTGGGGTGCTGGATGCTGCTCCACTGTGCATCTCGAGGACCGGGCACCGGGCGGGGGGGGGCGCGGGTGAGCCAGGGGGGGCCGGGGTCCCGTTGCATCCCGGACCCCCTGCCCGGCTCCGGGCCGCTATCCTCCCCCCGCGCCGATATAAATAGTAGCGTCTTCCCGTTCCCTAAATTTCCTCGCTGACGTAGCGCTCACGTCATTGTGTAGGTTGATGCTTTTCTATGAATGAGCCGAGATCCCCGTTACTACGAGCCCGATCCTATAAAAGCCCCGCGCGCTGCGGACAGCGCAGCACCGACACCGGCGCCGGCCCCGCCGGGAGCCGCGGGGCCCCTGCCCGGCCCGGCAGCCGCGGGAGCCCGCAGGAGGTAAGGCACCGGCTGGGCTGGCCCCCAGGTAAGCGGGGACGGAGCCCGGTGAGGGGGCGGGAGGGGGCAGCGGAGCCCCGCGGCACCGGGCGCTGCACCTGCCCGCCCCGGGGTAGGGGGCGGAGCAGGGGGGACCGGGACACCGGTGCGGGGGCAGTTCTGCGGCGGGCGGGGGCGGCGCGGTGCCGCCTGTCGCAGCCCCACGTGCGGGCCGGGGACGAGGGGCGGCGGGGCGGCGGGGCCGGGCGCGGTGCCGGCGGGGGCGGTCCGCGGGGGCGGGGGCTGAGCGCGGGGCCGCCCCGGGGCGCACGGCGGGGACCGGCCACCCGCGCCTTGCGGGGGCTGGGGGTGGGGGGGAGGCGGGAAGAGGTGGGGAAGCGCATCCCCGTGTGGTGTGTGTGTGTGTGTCCCGCGCTGCGGTGACACCGGTCCCTGCTGTCCCCCTTTACCGCATCCATCACTGACGGGACCCCTCCAACCCCATCCCGCGGTGCCGCCGTGCCCAGCAGCCTGCACCACTACCTCCCTCGGGTTCCCTCGCACCCCGGTCCCCCCCGCTCGAGTGCTGCCAGCTCCGCAGCCCGGGGGGGTCCATCGCCTTCACCCCGGCGCGTCGAAAGAGCGCGGAGATCCCGTCGAGGAGAGCCCGAGTCAGCGCATCGGCACCTTGGCTCTAGACTGCTTACTGCTGCGTAGGGACAGGACAGTAACAGTCTACAGTCATGGCTACTGAAGCATGACCCACCGCCGGCACCGGCCCCGCACCGGCCCCGGCCCCGCCGCAGCGCTGGGGGGGCAGGCGCTGTCCGTGGTGCTGAGCCGTCGGGGAGCGCGCCCCGACGGTGGGGGGTGGAAGGTGGGAAGGGGCGAGGATGGGGGGTTGTCCCGGTGCCCTCCTGACCCCGCTCTCTCTTCCCCCCCGCAGACACCGACCCCCCCACGGCGGACGCCCCCCCGCCTTCCCGCTGCAGCCCAGGTAGGGGGGGACTCCCCGGCGGGGTGGACACGCGTGGGAGGGCAGGGGGCGGGGAGGGCGTGGGTGGATGCTACCGATGCTGCCGATGCTACCGACATTCCACCCCCAAGCACCGGCCCCCCCCGCCCCGCGCCGCCGGTGCGGTGGCGGAGCCGCCTCCTCGCCGTCTCCAAGGCACCGGCTGTCCCCCCCAACCCCTCTCGGTACCCCCCCCTCCGACGCCGCCCGGGCGACCGTGGCTTTAGATTGTTACTGTGCCGCTGGGGGGGTAACAGTCTACAGCCATGGTCGCCGGGACAGGCGGACTCGCAGCGCGGGCAGCACCGGCTCCCCCCACGCCCCCACCCGCGGGGGTCCCCGAGGCGGCGGAGGCGGGGCGGCGGGGGTCCCGTCGGGAGCGGCCCGCCTCCCGGGGCAGTAGGAGCTCACATGCAGGATGCAGCTCGCCGCACATCAACTCTTACTGTTCGGGGGGGCGGGCGCCGAACGGCTCCTCCTCGGGCAGTGGGAACGGTGGGGGACCCCCCTCGTCTGATCCCCCCATCCTGCCCCCGCCCCGCAGCCCCTCACCTGCCCTCCCAGCGGGGCCGCTCGGGGGCCGCCCCCGCCGGGCTCATCCCGCCGCATCTGTGCTCTCGGCAGCCGCGGTCCCGTCCCACCCTCCCGCGCCCCCCGTCCCGCCGCCGATGCACGGGAGGACCACGGGACGTTCGCGGAGCGGAGTGGGGCCGGCGCGGCGGGGACTGAGAGCGGCCCGCGGGGCCGGGGCGGGGGCGGCCGGGGGCGGTCGCAGGTTGCACAACCCGCCCGCCGCGGCCAGGAGATTCCTGAGCGGCGAAGTCAGAGCGGCCCGGCCTGCCCCGACACCGGGCACCGGGCCCTCAGCAGCCGGCGGCGACCGGTGCCGGCCGGGCAGGGCCCCTCTCGGGGGGCACCGCGGACCCACAGCCTCGGAGACGGGGACGGAGGGGGCTGGACGGGGCGTAGTGACCAGAGAGATCCCAGAGGGGAAGTGGGATGCCTAATCCCTTGGGTACCCCGGGGGTGGGGGGTCAGACACGGGTGGGTGACAGTGTCAGTGCCAAGAGGACAGGGAGAGCCCCCAAACAAGAACCTCTGGTCCTGGGATGCAGCTCCAGCAAGGAGCTCCCGTGGGTGTCCCACCTAAACTGCATAGGGGCCACATAGGGTCCTCTGCCCACACTCCTTCTCTCCAGAGCAGCACCATTAGGATCCTTACCCACCCATGGGGTCATGCACTTCTACCCTCACCCAGACAGGCACAAGCCACCACAGGTCCCTGGGGCCAGCAGGGCCACGGTGCAGCAGGGGAGCCATGGGCAAGAGAGTATCTCAGGTACCAGGTACTCACTGTGCACTGCCCCATCTCCTGCCTTTGACTCCTGCTTTTCCCATTGCTGCTGCTGGTGACGGGCCATGAACCTCACACCTCCAGGAAGGGGATTTTCGGGCAGTCCCATCAGCGCTCAGGTAAAGCCGCAGCTGCGTTTGGCACATCCACACTGCAAAGGTGCCACCCTGCATCCCCTGGGAAACACTTCCTTGTTTGTGCTCCATCACAGTGAGATTGTACCTGTGTCCCTTCCAGGATACCCCTGGGGGAGGGGACATGTCCCACAGGCAGCACTGCGGCCCCTTGGGCCCCATGTTCCAGCCCGGGAAGGCCCTGGCTGTGCTGTTGTTGTTTTGAAGGCCAAGTCTCTCCTGCTGACACCCTGGAATTAGTTTTTCTTCCAGAGTCCTTAAAAATATCCTGGATTCCTGACACCAGGACTTGTCTTCCAACGGCGCTTCCAAGCCACTGGGCCTGGGGCCAGCTGTGAGCGCCGGGGGACAGAGGCCGTCCAGCTCCCGTGCTCCTCCGAGATCACAGCGGTGCTGGGAAGGAATATGGTGCCAAGGAAGATCGCAGCCCCTGCCACAGCTGAGTTGTTACTTGCCACTCCCATGGTGGAATGGTGCTCAGCAGGGCACAAACACTGCCTTGCCTCAGCAATGCTCCCAGTGGCTTTGGTACACACTCCTGTGCATGGCCGGGAGGGTGGGAAGGGTCTTTCTGGGACCTCCAGCAGCCATGACCCTACAGAACCCCACAGCTGAGGACTGAGCTGTGGCGAGGGTCCCAAGGTACTGTCCCAGACAGGATTTCCCTGTGCATCCCCAGGAAAGCTCGTGGTCCCAGAAAACTTCTGGCTGAAGCCTGTGACCCACTCCTGGCTTTGCCAAGTGGCATGCTGGCACAATGGGAATTTGGAGTGGTCGGGGGGGAGGCTGAGCCAGCGTGGCTGGTGGGGGGTGCAGGGAGAGATGCTGCTGCCCCCCCAAAGGCCAGACAGCTGCCCACCGGCCGCACACACTGCTGTTGCCAGCTGACAGCTCTTGGCTAAACGGCCTTTTGTGATTCAGCCGTGTTTATCCCAGCCCTCGGCCCGGCCCAGCGTGGGTTTCCATGGAAAACTTCCATCCAAAACAAGGAGAGAAGGAGCTACAGCAGGAGTGACTCAGCCACAACTGGAAGCTTCTGCGGGTGAAGCAGGGAAGGGGGGGCTGTTCCCAACGGCTTGGTCCTGCTCTGGCAGCAGGGCCCGGGGCTGGCCCCTGGCTCTGTCCTGCCCGTGCTGCTACCTCCTTGCAGGCAGGAGCCAGGCAGCTTTGGGGGAAACTGCATCGTATGACAGTCTGCAAAACACATCACTCTCCCAGAGCACCCCCTCCCCACGCCAGCGCCAGGCCCCGCTGGTGAAGACAGGGGAGGAAAAGCGTGAGATGAGTAAGGCTCAAACCCTGCCACGATCTGCATGCCAGGCTTGGTGGGACATCTTTTTCCAGTCCTGCCCATAGGAGCCCTGCCCGTGCCTGGTGTGCCCCATGTGGGTGCTGGCAGGGTGGGCAGCGAAGGAGACCCCGAGTTGGCAGTGACACAGGGGAAAGGGGTGCGGAGAGCTGGGGAAGAGGTGGTGGGAGTTTGTGGGGAGGTGGCAGCTCTGGCAGAGCCTCTGCTTGTGCTGGTCTTCTCCCACCCTCCCTGAGATGCTGGGAGAGGGCTGGGAGCTCTGCTCACCTGGGAGAGGGGAGCAAAGCCCTTCCCTGCCCAGCCCCAGCACCCCGTGGCCAGGGCAGGCTCCTCACAATCAGGGCCATAGGCAGGGCCTATCCCTGGGGTCACCCAGGTTACTCCGATGTCTGTGTTGGGTTTGGAAAGGGTCTATTTGGGGAGGAGAGGGATGACATTCCCCTGCCAAAACACCCAGGCTTCTGGTGCTTCTGGGTAACACCAGTGGCTGTCCTCAGGGCCCCCTTGTCCCAAGCCAGTGGCATGGCTTGCTCCATCACCCCCTCACTCAGCAACAGCAACTGCTCCAGACTGTTTTGGGGGAAAAAACGACTCTCCTGGGCGGGTGGGAGAAGAGGAAACCCTCCAACAGCAAAGCAAATGAAGGGTGGGAAGACATCAGTCAGTCTTGTCTCCAGGCAGCTGAGCAGTGTGGCTGCATCCCAAGGACAGACTTGGATCTGCAAGAGAGGCAGAGGCCAGCCCGAGGGCATCTCGCCAGCGGAAAAGCAGGGAGAGGGAAGGATTCCCAGGGCAAACCCCTCCGTCCGGCGGGGACATGCAGTGACAGCCGCGGGAGCCGCTTCCCTTCTCCCATCACACCGGGGCCGAGCAGGACCTCCCTCCGCTGCTCACACAGGCACCTCCCGCGGACAAGGGTCGCGTTTATCTCTTTTTATTAATTTATTTAAACCCGGTACAGGAGCCACCCGGCAGGAGCCATCTTTAAGCAGACCCTGGGAAGAGAGAAGCAGGTACTGCAGCACCGCAGCTCAGGTCACCACCCCTCCCTCCCCAGCCCACCCCAGGGAGCCGCCCGCAGAGCCGGCACCGTGCTGCTCACTCACCGCACCCTGGGCTCCTTCCCCATCCCGCTGCCAGCGATGTGCCAAGTGCCTCCCTGTGCCCGGGAGCTGCCGGGGGTCGGCGGTGCGGGGCCGCAGTGCGGGCGGGCGGCCATGGCTGCGGTGCCTCCCCCGCGCCGGGCGATCACCGCGGGGCCGGTGATTAAAGAGCTACGGGCAGGCTTGGCGAGCGCGGCTGCTGCCGTCCCTCCACGGCTGCCCAGGGCTCAGCGGGGCCGAGCAGAGACAAAAGCGCCGGTGCTTTGTCGCAGCTGGTCGCCGTGTTCGGCTGGAGCTGCTGCTGCTGCAGCTCTCCTCCAAAACACAGCTTCTCCGACGTGGTCATCAAGGAGTGCAGACACCTCACACCTTAAAACGAGCTGTGACACAGCCCAGCTGAAGTGGCCAAGGCGGCCACCACTGCCCACCCTCCCTCCACCTAACACCCCCAGGACACCAGCCTGGGGCTGGGCTGCAGAGAAACTGCCTCCTCCTCCTGCCACCACCACCACTGTGCTGCTGTGTAACCAGCAACAAACCAAAGAGCAAAAACCCCCCAGGGCCGAGAACCGCTTGTTTCTGCTGCGTTGGTTTAACCCACGGCAGCTGCCAGGCCTGTTCCCAGCTGAGGGAACATAGGAAGGGCTTCAGCCCCTGCCCCTCTGCCCGCTCCTGTCATCCTCTGGCCCTTGCAGGGATGACACTGCACTGCCCTTCTGCCCAGGCAGGGGGAAAATGAAGACTTTACACTCGATTTCTCTCTTTTACCAACTATAAACCTCCAAGGAAAGCCTTGGTTAGAGAAGACCTCCAAGCACAGCCTTGTCCTGAGGCTGGTGCCCGATCTGCCCCAGCACTGCACTGGGCAGCAGCCAAGCAGAGCACCTGCAACTGTAACAGCAATAAAGGTTCTCAAGTGCTTCTGGAAAAATTATCAGAGCCAGAAACAGAGTGACAAGTTTTTCTTGTTCATGGAGGCACCTTGTACAGGGAAGATTCAACACATGTACTGAACCAGCAGACACTTCACTCCTGAAACAAACACCAGCCAGGAGTGAGAGGGTTTTCCAGATCCAGACCAGCTGGAGGTGTGGCTTAATAGATATTAAACCCCATGAATCTTTGGGGTGTAACAGCTCTGTAGGAGCTCTGTGACATGCAGACACTTCCTGTGGCTGAGCTGAGGGATCCTGATTTTGAGCAGCTACTTGAGTCTCTGGAAGCATCTCACACACAGAGTAGTGTCACCTTCCTACCCTTAACCCCCCCGAGTCACACTACATGTCATACGTTATATACATATATATGTATACATATATATGTATATAACTTTATATACATATATATGTGTTATTTATATATTATATACTCATGTATACAAGAAAGCTGAAATAAAAAGGGAGATGTAGCTGGGCCCTGGATGAACACTGCAGAGCAGAGTGGTGCAGGGAGCTGCTGACGACTCTGGGGGCACCAAAACAGTGATGGGTGTATACACATGGCTCACAAGAGCCCTCTTTATTACACAGACCGTTCTGAAACCTCCCCAGCCCCTGGGGGCTCGGCCTTCTCCTGCCCGGGCCGGAAGCGTTCCAAGAATTCCAGGTAGGCTTTCCTCTGCGCCGCGGCCGCGGGGATGAAGTGCCCGCCGGGGTGGGCGAGCACCACCGGCTCCACGAAGCAGCGCGCCAGCTCCATGCTGAGCGGGGCCGCGATCACGGCGTCCGTGTCGCCCACGACGTGCAGCGTGGGCAGGGCGATGGGGTGGCGGTAGAAGTGCCCGTGCGCCGGGGCGCGGCTGGCGAACCCGGCCACCAGCACGGCGAAGCCCACGGGGAAGCGCGGGTCGCCGCGGGCCCGCAGCGCGCACACCATGGCGGCCAGCGCCGCGCCCTGGCTGAACCCCAGCAGCCCGTCGAACGGCCCCTGCTCCGCCAGCGCCGCCGCCACGGCCGACAGAGACTCCTCCAGCCCCTCCGGCGCCGCCGCCGCCTCGCCCGCCTCGAACGCGCCGGGCCCCGAGAACCACCAGCCGCGGGGCGGGTCGTCCGCGTCGGGGTCGTCCTGGGCGGCGGCGGCGGGCACGGCGTGCGGCGCGTCGATGGGCAGCAGCTCGGCGCGGCCGCGCAGGGCCTTGCGGAGCGCGCCGGTGCGCTGGCGGAGGCGGCGGGCGCTCTGCCGGTACCCGTGCAGCGCCAGCAGCCGCAGCGGCCGCCGCTCTGCCGCCATCGCTTCCGCCTTCCCGCCCAAATGCCGCGCGCTGATTGGCCAGCGGAGGGAGGGGGCGGAGCAGCGCCGCGGAGGTGGCAGCGCGCCCCCCGGCGGTGGGGAGGCCGCAGGGCAGGGGTGGGGGGAAGGCGGGGCGGTCCCGATGTGTCGCGACAGGACGGGACGGGACGGGACCCCCGGAGAGACCGGGGCTGCAGCACGGCTTGGCCCTGCAGGGGGTCACTCCCCGCGGGCAGCCGGGCGCGGTCCGTGCGGGCAGCGGTGTCACCGAGTTACGGGGTGCGTCCCCATCCATCCCAGCGCAGGTACCGGGGGTTGCCCCGGTGGTCCTTACCCCGGCGGGAGGCAGCGCCGGTGCCCCCCTGCCCCTGCCCACGCCGGAGGCTGCAGGACCGGGTGCAGGCTGCACTCATGAGGCTGCGGGGTCTCCGGCGCTTGGCTGCTCCCCACCCTCCGGCGGGGCGGGGGGCGCGGGCGGCTTCTCCTGCAGAGAAAAGGGAGTTAAGGGGAGGTAAAGATAAAGGGATGTCCCATCCCCTGCCTGACCCGCGATGAGCCAGCCGGTGCTCAGCCCACAGCGCCCCGCGGGGCACTTTTGGGGGGACCGACGCCCCCATCCCCGGGAGCCGCAGGGCCAGGCGGGCGCTCAGCCCGGCAAGTACTGGGAGGGGGGCTCTGGTAGCCCCCGCAAGTCGGGCTGGCAGCGGCCCCGTTCCTGCTCGCCGGGAAGGAAGCCACGCGGTGGCGCTTTTGGCACGCGGCACCGGCCACCAAACCGCACCGGGCGCTGCTCCCCGCCCGTCCCCGAAACAGAGAGAGAAGGGACCCGGTGATTCCCCCGCCGCCCACCTGTGCCGGCCGGCCGCGGCGCGGGGGCTGTGTGCCGCCGTGGTTCGCCGTCCACGGCCCCAGGGACTGGCTGGCGTAGAAGTCCATGGGATAAGGCTGCTGCCACTCGATGTCCTGGAGAGCCACCGCGGCCTGTGGAGGGGACAGGGAGCCGTGACTGTGATGGGGGGGGCTGGCAGTGGTCCCAGCACAGTGGATTGGTGCTGGAGGAAAGCTCGAGGTTACACAGCAGATTGGATATCCCAGCAGCCTGCCTGGACTGGGCAAGGAGCACAAATGGAGAGAGGAAGGGACACTGCCTGGCTGCACGGACATCCCCAAGCCTGCCCCAAGCCAAGACTGCCCCCCCAAAATAAGAGCAGAGTGCTCACCTCGTAGGGTGTCAGCAGGGGCTTGCTGAAGGCTTCTCCCCAGTCAATGGAGAGCCGGGGACAGGCTACCTGCACCCACCTGGAAGGGACATAGGTGACAACAATGGTGATGAGCATTTTGGGAAGAACAAGCCACAGTGAAGCCCCTCAGCAGCACCCCAGAAGGTCTGTGCTGTGCCAGAGCCACCCTGGTAAGGACAGCCATGCCCCCGTGGGCACAGCTTGTGCAGGAGTGCACAGTGCTAACCCAGCTGACAGCAGGACAGATGTGGCAGGGATGGCTTCAGGCAGGACTCAGAGGCCTGGACAGGGATGGGACACCCTGGGCACCCCATGTGGGGGGCTGGAGGAGGGGTCAGCAGCACTCACGCATCCACATCTGGGAAGAGCTGCAACTTGCTGGGGAAGATCTCGGACAGCAGCACCCGCACGTAGGGCCGGCCCAAGGCACGGAGACGCGACTCCAGGTGCTGCGGGGGAAAAGGCACCCGGGGGGGTGTTAGGAGCCCCCATCAAGCCCCCATCAAGCCCTACCCACTGCCCCTTCCTGTCCATCAGACCCTCTGTGAGTCTCAGCCCCACGGTCGTGTCCCCTTGGCAGTCGCAGGCCAGGCACAGTGTCAGGGACTGCGGCCGTGGCTCCAGCTCTCCCCAGCACGTGCCTCAGCCTAATGAAGTAATTACTGCTCAATGACAACAATCTGTTCTCGTTAGCAGCTGCCTGCCCTGGGACCCCCGCCTGCCGTGGGCTGGCTGTGGCCAGAGCCTGCAGGAGGAGAAGGGCCAGGGATGTCCTTGTCCATTGGAGCTGCCACTCAATGGCCCCTGCCCAGCCAGCCCTGGCCATGCCCGTGTCCTGCCCCCATGGAACAGCAGCTGCAGGATCTTGATGCCCTGTTCTGCCCACTGGTCCCTTCACTAACCCAAATCTCACCTGCAGCTACCCCATAATTTCTGGGTGTCAGCAGGGCACCCCATTCCCATGGGGCAGGATACTGTTGTCCTGCTCCCCTCATCCAGCTGGGGTGCAGAAAGCACCAGCACGGCAGCTGAGCAGGGATGGTGAACCTGATCGGAAGTTCATCCAATTAAAACAAACCCAGGGAATTAATTGCCGAGCTGTCTGAGCGGGAGGGGGTGGTCTCCAAGACTGGCCAGCTCTCCCCAGCAAGGGGCAGGTTTAATGAGCCCTTGTCCGGCCTCCCTCATCTACTGCTAATTGCCCTGCTCGCTTAGCTCAGGGGCACACAGACTGGGGGCCAGTGGCCAGCAATGGGTTGCCAGTGGTGTCACATCTACCCTTGCCCCGGCAGTGAGGACGCTGTGCCAGCGATGCCATCGCTCACCAGTCCTTACCCCCACCCAGCAGCAGCATCCAGTGTCCCAGTGGGGGCCATGGGGAGGAGGTGGCTGGTACCTGCAAGATTTTTGGGGAGCCCTGACGCCCCAGTGTGCCCAGGATGAGTCCCCAGCAGCGGGCACCGGCGGCAGCGTGGATGGCATCCTGCCGAGCGCGGTGCATGCGCTCGTGGCTGTAGTGCTCCTGGGAGAACACCTTGCTGTAGGGGTCGTACCTGCAAAGCACAGCCAGGCTCACACACACACCCCATCACCTGCCCCCCCTCCGCACTGGACCCAAATGATGCCCGTCTCTCATTAGCACTAATTGCCTCCCACAGCATCTGTCCTCCTGGCTGGTGTAGGACCAGCTCATTAGGGGACAAGGACAGGGACAAGTGTCCCACCACAGCACCCCAACACCCAGCACAGCCTGGGCTCCGCGCTCGGCTTCGTGCTCAGCTCCCCCCTCAACCCGGCTCATCAATTATGAAGAAACCTTTGATTTGTTGCTTTGTTTGACGAGGAGAATTTTAATCAAATCCCACTCGGGTTTCGGCAGCTTCACCAGCGCCATAAACCTGACGTGCGCCTCCCGTTCGTAACAAACGACCTACTAGGAAATTCAGATTCCGCCAAATGGGCCCAGCCTTTCACTCCTGATATTTCATCTGCTTTCAGCCGCCTCATCATCGCGCTTTATGGCCTCTGCCTGCAGCAGCCGGGCTTTAATGGCTGCACCTCCACGAGCTTTCACAGGTACTTGTCAAAATGTTTATATTCAGCTGGAGTAAATGGCTCGTGTTCATCTCCCCGCTGCACCTCCTCACCCACCCCTCGGCCTCTCACCTGCCTGTGCCTGCTGCAGGCAGTTGCCTGCCCAGCCCTGGGGTATGGGGTGCTCCTGGCATGCAGGGTGGGGACAGCTGGTCCCCGGTGTGCTGGGGGAGTTGGGGTGCTCCCCACCCGCCCAGGGGGGATTGGAGTGGGTGCCCGTACCTGTATGCAGGTATCCCCGGGTTGGCAATCATGATGGACTCCAGGTGGAACCGCCCATCGCCCAAATACCTGCCAAGAGGGGAGGGAGAGCTACGGCACATGGCAAGCAGAGGCACCCATCCGTGTGTCTGCAGTTTCCCAAGCCACAGGTGC